TACGTCTGTGTGTGTGTGTGTGTGTGTGTGTGTGTGCGTGTGCGTGTGCGTGTGCGTGTGCGTGTGCGTGTGTGTGTGTGTGTAAACCTCTTATAACTTTTGAACGGCTTGGCCGATCGGATCGAAATCGGTGGCGATCCAAAGAGTATCATAGCCATTAAATTTCGTGAAAATTTGAATCGATTCGGTTCGCTAGATTTTTAGAAATCTCAAAAACAAAATTTTGGAAAAATAGTTTTTTTGGAATAACTTTCAAACGGCTTTACCGATCGATTTCAAAAACTAATCAGCTCTCAACCTCGAAGAACCAGGTCGATCACCGTTGGACCGGTCAAAATCGGTTGATTCATTCGTGAGATATCGAAAACGAAAAATTTCAAAAAAAATATTTTATCAAAAAATCTCTTAAATGGCTTCACCGATCACTTCCAAAAACTAATCAGCTCTTAACATTGAAAAACCACGTCGATCACCGTTGGACTGTTCGAAATCGGTTGATTCGTACGTGAGATATCGAATACGAAAAATTTCAAAAAAAATATTTTTTCAAAAAATCTCTTAAATGGCTTCACCGATCACTTCCAAAAACTAATCAGCTCTTAAATTTGAAACGATACGTCGATCGCGGTTGGACTGGTTAAACCACGTCAATTGCCACCAGTCCCATCAAAATCGGTTGATTCGTTCGAGAGTTATCGAAAACGAAAAATTTGAAAAGAAGTGTTTTTTTCACATAACGTCGAAATTTCTTTTTGGATCATTTTTGACGAAATAGAATAATTATAAGAGCCCAAAAAATCACGTCGATCGTTACCAAGAACGTGAAAATTGGTTGATCGGTTCGTGAGTTATCGTTGTCGAAAAAATTCGGAAAAAGTGAATTTTTCAAATTTCTCTAAGATTTTCGGTTCGATCAGTTTGTGTTCAAAAGTATATCATAGATTCAGAAAAAGTGCGTGGAATACTGCCAACCACGTGAAAATCGATTCATTCATTTAGAAATTATTGCAGTTTAAAAATTCAAAAAATACTGTTTTATTAAACTTCGATCAGCCTTTTGAGCTCGAAGAGCTCAAAAGCATACAAAAGCTATTTCTTTGAGCTCGGAGAGCTCGAAATAACACACAAATTGTATTTTTGAGCTCGAAGAGCTCAGAAACGTCATAAGTGCAATCTCAAGCGTTTAGGTATGGAATTGGCGGGAAGTTGCAGGGATGGCCTTTAGGGTCAACCGTTTTCCAGATTTTTTTATCGAAGTTCATTTATTCAAATGTCCATTTTTACAGATTTCATTGTTATTGATGGGCATTTATACAAGTGTCCATTTAAGAAAATATCCATTAATCCATTTGTTCATTTGAACTCTTTACCAAATACTTGTATTTCCATTCGGAGATATTTTAAAAATAGGGATTTCATTTTTTTCAGTTGGCCATAAGTGCAGTTGCACATTTATGATTATTTTCTTTTTTATTAATGTCTACTTATATTAATGTCTAATTTTACTTAAATACTTATATTGTTTTTTCCAAAAAATCAAATGTCCATTTTCAGAAATTTCCATATCCATTTATTCAAATGTCCATAAATACACATTTCCAATAATACAAAAGCAACACGAACAGGGATAAATTAATGTCACGCATCATATTTGTTATTTTAGATAGAATTGAGTTTCTTCAATAAGTTATAAATCATTGAAATTTTCTAATATAATTAACATTTCCTTTTATATACGGGAATATTTTTTTACATCTATATGGGTCATTACGTCAAATCAACGACGATTTTGTAGATTTTATAATATCTCATATACTTATGTGAGCATATAGAGAATCCGTATGTTATTTCGGTACGTATATTAGTATATACCCATTCTTTCCCGCTTTACACCATAATGTCATTTGTAAAAATGCTTACCGTACGATGGACGGTGTGGCTCAATGGACATTGAATAAAGTGAGCGGAAAATTGGTAAGAGAAGTGTGACTTTTTTTTCGTCCCTTTCCATGAGCAAATATAAATGGTTTTCTGCCCACTAAATAAAGTTGTAGCCTTGTTTTCGATTTTGTCAAAGAATCTTTTGTTTATTTCAAAATTTTATAACCGTCATTTTCTTTTGGCTATTAGTTTGAAATTCTCTAGTTTTTGTTGGCTTCAGCCATTGAAACTCAGACTTTTAATGCAGATTGTATGAAAAATATAGTGCGTGATGCGGAATGAAACACGATTTCAGATGAAGGATGAAGTTGCCTGACCGAGCGAAGCAAGGACAGGCAACTTCACCCTTCATCTGAAAGCGTTTGGTTTCATCCTGAGTTACACAATATACTATTCATTTTATTTTTGATCATTTTTTTGCAATAAATATGTCACGGGAATTTTCATTTCTCGTGTGCTTCCCTCTCTGCACCTAGAATTGGCAACAGATCCACACTCGGTGTGTCTCTAAATTTTACTATAATTTGTTTAATTATTTATTTTATTGAATTTATTATTATTGTAATTCAGAATTATTGTATTACTGTTATTATTTTTAAGTATTAACCTCAAATTTATTTCAGATGTTAATATCGAACTGTTTATTATTTATTTTGTTATTTTGTATGTATTTATCGCCGTAAGTCTTCGCCATAATGTACCTAATCCAGGTACAATAATGGGTATCGGGACAGGTACTTGAAAAAAATGGTAAAGCATAATATTGATAACCGATAGTAAATTATAGCCCTTACTCGCACGAGTGAAACCCTATACTATCGATCGCGAGCAAAGGGACTAGTAAATTTGGGAAAATGGTTAGAGAGGCCCTCGTTATCTAACACGACGCCTCAGACGGTTTACGGTGATGGAAATTGACAGACACGCGGGAGCCCGTATAGTGTAAGGAGTGTGGATCTGGCGTCCTTGGTCAAGTCTTTTTGTTAAGTATCTCACGAGTTGAGCCTGGATAATATCCGCACATTGCGTCGTCTCCTGGCCTAAATAATTTGGTCAGTTATTGTATTAAAAATTATTATTATTTTATCGAGTCGATCCCGTCGTTAGTAAGGGGTATTGTAGTGTCACGGGGCTCCTTTATTACCTATTGAAGGCCCTCACCCTGACTATGGTTAATTATCGACGGATCACAGGGCGCTGTGATTTAAGGTGCTCGCACAGTGAAAATTTGATAAAATAAGTTCTGGGACCTAGAGTGGAAGTGCTTCGAGAATGGGGAGAAGACCACACCGAGGCAAAAGGAAGTTGTCGCACGGAGAGGAGACATTGTGAAGACGGAACTCGACAAAGCAGCTACGGAATTCTAAAGACACCAGGTAATTATTTCTGTCCTTCGAACCTACTGTGGAACGAAGCGATAGCCATCATTGCTAACTTGTATTTATTTTTGCTAGGTATTTAGCCGGCTTAAATAAATCTGAATAATTACTATAACAGTACTGTGCTTACAGATAACTAACAACGCCGAAAAATAACCGAAAGCAGCGTAGAAATAAAACGAAGCAGCCACACTGGAGATTGTTGTAGCCATTGCACCGGGACCTGATTACAAATTGGAAAACATCTAAAGTCTCCAGGAATTTTATAACAATCCTAGGTATCAAAAATTAACCTCTGTGAAATAAACTGCGCTGCTCAAGGAAATACTAGGCACTGGCCAGGTTCCTTCTTCCAATCACTAGATTTATTAATTTATGATTGAATTTATTTAATGACTAAATTTATAAAATCGAGGTTAAGAATAATTGAATTAAAATTTAAGATTAAAATAAATTTCCGAAATTCAGATAATTTAAAATTAAAATCAAAGGAGCTTCACAGCATTATTTATATTTGTTAATGCTGTGAAGCGGGAAAGAATAGGAGTTGCGGATAAAATAGTCGGATAATATATGAACTAAATACCGGAAAAAAAATGAAAAGAAAAGAGTACTCGAAGATACAAGTCGAAGAACTGACTAACCCATTGATGATGAAGAAGTCTGAGTGTCCCTCGTTGCCTCGAGAACTTCGTAATTCCATCAAAATTCATCTTGAAATATCTCAACCAAATAATGTACCTAGTTAGATCAAGAGCAACGAAAGTGTATTATGTAATTTTTGTCCCGTAAAACTAAATCGTTGTGTGCAATATGCAGTAAAGCAGTCTGCGGAGAACACACTATTTATGTACGTAGTGATTGTCATAATAAGGCTCCAGTTGACAGCGATTACGAAGAATAATTGTTTTAATTATCGTTGCTAAAAAAATATTAAAATTTACGTCTTATCAAATAATATATGTTGATAATATTTTTAAAATATTGAAAGAGACATTGACGAAAGTGATACTATTATAGTCATAAGATTATTGATAATTGTTGATTATTTATAAGAATAATTTTAATGAATAAGTAACTAACTTACTTCAGTATAAACAAAAATAGTATATTGTTTAAACGATAAAAATTCCAATACTTTATTCGGTAATTATAATTTTTCAGTCAATATAGTTTATTAACTGTAAAAATTTATAATAATTTTAGAAAAAAGTTCTATAAAAAAAGTTAATTAATATGATTTAGATTGAAATACTAGAAAAACTATCAATATATGATATTAATCACAACAGTCAAAATGAGATAAAATTATTGAATAACAGTCAATTAGTATTAGATATTGTCATTTCGTTGTTCTTATTCTTATAATTTAATATGTATTTGAATTTGTGTATTAAAAAAAAAATAATCTAAATCTTTCATCACAAATAGTGAGTTTATAAATTATATTTCCAGATAATTATGCAAAATTCATTTTTCTGTAGTTTAAGGTACAAGAATTCAATTCGATTGTAGAATTTATAGTTTAAAATCACGCGCCTTTTAACTTCTAACAATCTGGCAACGCTGTACAAAAATTAACGTTGCGGCGCATCGTCGCAACGCGACTAACTCTGTGCGAAAATTTCACGCGAGTGACGAAGGGTTAATAAAAGTATTTATGGTAACAATAAAGTTAAATCAATTGCAAAAAAAGGTCACCTTTCTTTTGTATGTTGATCCTTTTAAGTCGTATTTTTGATGTAATTTTACTGCTGACGGTAAAAGATTATTCATAGCAACTAATCGTACATTTTTACTATTACAGCGATAACAATATAATCCAAAAAACTTTGGTAATAAGGTTCTGGGATTTTGATTTAAATTCATATAATAACCCGGTAAAAGAGTTTGTAAAAATTCCCCCTCTTTATGCTGTACAGTTTTTATTATGAATTCATCATCTTCAGTTAAATAAAATATACTTCCACTGGCTCCGGGGTTTGATAATTCTCTCAATGGTGCACTGCACATTGACATCTGTTATGAAAAATTATCGATGAGAAAAATAATTGCAAAATAGAAAACAAATATTTAGGTCTAAACATACCAAGAAGTCATCAGGTTGAATTCCAAAGAGGTCTCTAAAATATCGAAATGCTATTGGAGCGTAATTTTTGAATTTGAACTCAGAAAAGTGATGTGCTGGTGTATGGTTTGAACCTTCACTTGGAAAATTCGTTGTTTCAACAGTCATGAAATCTTGCATTAATAAATCTCTCTCAGGCTTACTAGCTAATCCACCAACAGCATGTTGAATTCCTAGTTGTATTGATCCCATAATTTGAGTCGTTTGTATCTACATAATACTTTAATTAATGACATTGAATTGATTAAGTATCAAAATAAAAAGTATAATCCTTATTTTTATAAGGAATGTGATATTAAGTTATTGTGATTAATATTAATAAAAATAAAAATAAAATCAAATGACAATGATTGAAATTCAAGATAGAATGGTCATTAACCATAATTTACATTTCAACTAAAATTTCTAACTTTTTGGTATCTGTTTATTTATGTCATGATGGAGCTTACTGCTTAGCTATATTTTGAATACATTTTACAAATAGATAACAACATCCTGACTTAAAGAAACACCTTAAGCCTGGGTTACTGACCTATCAATACATTATTAGGTAACTGGACCAAGATCATCGTATCAGCTGCAGAGGATACCATTCGCAGATCATCGGGACTTCAAAAAAAGAAAAAAGTCCCTTGGTTGAACCAAAAATGTTCAGAGTCCTTCAATGAAGTAAATAAAGTGATGAAACTCTACAACATAACGGAGACAATGATCCAAACAATATAGCTAAGATTGAAAAAATGATTCTATTTCGAAATTTTGAGATCTTCAGCTCAAAAACAGAGCTTTTATACTTTTTTGAGCTCAAAAATCTAGTGGTTGTAGCAAGAATACTTTTTTGGAAATTTTTAATTGCGACATCATCCGATCGAATCAACCGTTTTTGATAAGGCTGACAGCAATCGGATTACCTACCAAAAAATTCGACATCAAATTTTGAAGTTAGGTTAAAAAAAACACTAGTTAAGAATTTTTAAAAATATAATTTCTCACGAACAAATTGACTGATTTTGACGAGATTATCGGCAGTGCAGTTTTTTTAACACTAAAAGTTTTTATATTACATAAAAAACAATCCGATAAAAAATTTCGAAGATTTGAAAAAATCACTTTCTTTGAAATTTTTCAAGAATATCTCACGAACCAATTAATCGATTTTTCAAACGGCACGACGTCATGTTTTGAGCTTGAGAGCTGATTAGGTTATGGAATTAATCGATAAAGCAGCTCGAAAAATATTTTGAAAAAAACTGATTTAGAAAACTTTATTTTTCGGTTTCTTTGGAATTTCCAAAAATCTATCACAACGAATTAGTTTAAGCCTACGAGGAAGTCTAAGATTTGCAGAACCGTATCGAATGATGCCAATCTCGTTCAAATCAGTTGAGCCTAAAAGTTATGAAAGGTTTACACACACTCACGGAGAGTAAAGTTTTTCGCGTCCGTAGGTTCAACTTTTACACCCTACACGTGTTCTCTGGGTAATGCCAAATTAAAAACACAAACAACGATATGGAAATGCCACAAAACTTTTCGAAATAGTTTACCGCACAGGAAGGGATACCCCAGTGCCAGCGTTGGAGGGTTTGCAAACGGGCCCGAAGGCGTCGTTAACAAGCAACCGTTTGGACAGCGGGATGAACCCCATGGCCTCGCTGTCGAGTATTGCTACAAGGAGTACAAAGACAGCCCTAATGGAAGTGGACAGACAGTCGAGCAACGTTCATCCAATTCAATGGAAGCGTAAAAACTTGAGGACAAGGTTTTTCCTTGGTCGGTCCCCTGGCTGTGGTGTAGTGAAAGTAAAAGGGTTTAATCAAAATCGTAATACATATATCCAATAGGACTACACGTACGGCTCGGAAGTGTATATCGTTGATTATATATATATACACGGATGAATAGATTACCAAACGTTCACCCATTCCCGAGCAAGGTCTCGTGACGTTGATACAGTCAACGCTCTCTGTATTTGACTCGCCCGTACAAGACCATTCTCTGTACTTGACTCGTTCTTGTCCATAAGAGCTGTGTAAAATCGTCAAATACAGAGGAAGAATGTGGTCAAATACAGAGAGGTCCAATACAGAGAGCGTCGACTGTAGATTCAATGTATCAGCGCAAGTAATAAGCTCGGAAATTGAGTGAGTCTGGACATCTACAAGCGAACGAGACTCTGACAGAGGGGGATAAAAACGCAAGCTTAAACAGGGCCTTACGGCTACTAGTTGGAGCAGCTGCGCATAGTGGGTTGCGCATATTAATGTGCATACGATATAATGCAATAGACACAATCAAACATCAGCTGATTGCAACTATACTGTGATTGTGATTTATTTTTTTTAATTAATTTAAGGTAGTACCTTTGCGACAATCCAGATAAAAAATTTTAAGACTATCCATGTTATACGTATCGACAGAGCTAAGGTTGTAGGTTAAGATTTTTTAACGTTACTGTACTCGTCGTCTACTATATATTCTCTATACATATACAAATATAAATATAAATAACAAATATAAATAATGCTGTGAAGCGGGAAAGAATAGGAGTTACGGATAATTATTACGTGAAGCGTTCCAACATTCACGTAACAGGATAATTGGTAGGAAAGGATTGAGAAAGGATTATGGAGAGGATCATCTTAATGTGAGTGTATAGAATATGCGATACACACACTACGGATTCAGTGACTAGCGGCTGTTTTTCGTATCCCCTCTCCTAAAAATAGTCCTCTAAAAGTGAAATTGATTTTAATTAATCTCGAAAACTACACGGTTAATAATTTTTATTTTTTTTTAATTGTTCGAAATATCATATTCTTCAATCTACTAGTTTTTTGATAAAGTCTTGAAATTCCTTCGATGGAAAAAAATAAAAATACTGTCATTTTCCCACGCTTCTCCTATGTTACATGTACAAAAATGTCATTTTCAATTGCAATTATCTCAAGTTAGGTACGGTAAATCATCTTCAAATTTTAACAGCATATGTATTATGTATTTAATGACTTATATTCAAAGTTTCGAGGATTTCTTAAAATATTGCTTTCATAACCATACTACCTTAAGAAACGGGATCATAAAAGGGTGGCTTCGACCCAAAATCTTGTTCCAGTGGGGGGGAAGGATTTTTTCAATGGTCATACAGAGCTTCTGACGTGCAATGCACTACAAAAAGGTGTGCATGCAAAAAAACTAACGTTTTGTGTAACAGTAGATGTCACTCGAGTTTACTATGTGTAAATAGATAAAAACTGAAATTTTATTCTCTAAATAAATGACTTTGGCTGTTCTAACTAATATCTTATCTTTTTTTAGTTGTCTCCTTTTGAGAAATCCGTTATTCTTAAATATTCCACGATCGGCAAAACAGCTATTAGACATTTCATGAACTGTCTAAAATATTTAGACATATCATGTAATTTTGGAACATTACACGATCTGTCTAAGGCCTAATTGCATTTCATGAACTGTCTAAAAATTTTAGCCACTTCGTGTAACTGATCGACCATTACACGATCTGGCTGCAGTTCATGAAATATCTAGAAATGTCTAGACAGTTCACGAACTGTCTAATTTCACGATCTGTCTACAACATATATATGTATATATAT